CCTCCCCAGAGAAATCACAGGGGGCTGCAGTGACACAGCACAGGAAATACGTGGCTTTAGCAATCGATAGCATGTAAGCGAGGCCCAAAGCACCAAACTGTGTGTAACAGCTTGTGCATTGCTTGCCAGCCTGCCGTCGCTTTTATACTGAGCCTGGGCTTGCTGGGGGCGATGGTTTTCACCCTGCTAACCCCCACCGGGTTGTGTGCTGCTGGGGCAGAGCCTGCTACCCCTTCTGACAGCAGCCGTGAGCTTGGCCCACTCCTCGCTGCAGGCCCCGCAGGGAGAGGCACGCTTGGGAGCATGTTTACAGCTCAAAAAAGAGAGTGGACCCCGGCCCACACCCTGGAGGAAGAATGGGGCCCCTGTGCATTGCTAAGCTGGCTGCAGTTGAAGTATGCACATTCCTTAGTCATGAGTTGCTCCCCCTGCAGTTAAAACAAAAAACAGGACCGTGGAGCACTTTAGTGACATGCCCTGTTTTCAGGGGATGGGAGCTACCTTACCACTGCTCCCCGCTTTGCCCCCTCCCAAGCAAGAATCCAGCGTACTCAGTGCCGCGGACTCACAGGCTGTGCCCACAGTGGGCCTGTACAGTCCCTGGGGGAACGCCCTTCGGTGCAACAGTCGTGGCCCACACAGCCGCGTGAAAGGGACTGAGCAAAGGAGCAGGTTGCCAGAAAGGAGGCACCTCGGCCTGCCCCGGCAGCGTGTCCCCACCGTGCTGCCTAGGCTCCCCTCCCGGAAGGCTGGGAGCCGCTTGCTATTTGCCACCCCTATGCCTTCACAGAGGCTCTGCCCCTGGGACTCGGTGCCCCACAGCTACCAGCTTGTGGCTACGGGGAACGGCTCCAGCGAAGACCAGGGCAAATTGGACCACTTCTCACTTTCCTGAAGCCTGGGATGCAGCCCCTCAGGCAGTGAATGGACTGCAGAGACAAGACTCAGTCATGCGCCTCCTGAATTGCCTGATGCACAGCGTTTTTATAACATTTTTCTCACAGCAGGAGACAGCCGGTCCTGGATGCTAGTAACTGTCCCCAGCAAGACACCAGCCTTCCACGTACCATCAGAAACGCAGGCCAGGCTGGGCTCTTTACATATATATGGGGAGCGGGGGGAGGGAGACATCTTGACCCACACTGGCCTCAGGGGAGAGGGTTTGCGGGCCTGCTCGGGAAGAACGGCGCTAGCTCTGCTCAAGGGAGCGTTTTAAAACTAGCAGCGTAACGAGGCGGGTAGCTTGGGTTAGCCACCTGACTATAGGCAGCTAGGGCAGCCTAGGGAGCTACCCCGACCCCCCTGTCCCTCCCCGTTTGGCCCATGAACTCAAGCAGAGCTAGCCCGTGTCTCCTCAGCCAGGGAAGCAGGCTTCCAAGCCCAGTGCTGGCCTACAGAAGAATGGCCATTCTGGATTGGATCGAAGGCCACCAAGGGGAGCGGGGGAGTCACGGGGTCCTGCATCCCCATCCAGCATCAGTTTGATTGACTCTGTCGGCCGGTAGAGCAGGTTCAGTAGCTGACAGGGACACATCAAGTAAGCAGAGGCAGTTGTTAGCGATCTTAGCCCTCCCGGTAGCTGACAGGGACACATCAAGTAAGCACTCCCCCTCTGTCCCATTCCCAGCTCCCACAGCCAGGCCCCTCCTCCTGCCTTTGTCCTGCTTCAGGCTCCTCCAGAGCTCAGGTTACAGGCCCTTGTGTACGTGCAGGACGCTCACACCCAGCCTTCCCACCATTAGGTAGTGGTGCAGTGTCCCAAGGAAACTAAAGCACCCGGGGTTACTACAGCAGTAGAAATCACATGCAACACAAGGCGACTGCACTTCCCACTTCCTAGCCCAGTGTCCTGCCTTCCAACAGCAGCTGCCCCACAGGAAATGAATAGAACAGGCGATCCCCTCCCTGCTGCTGCAGACGCTAGGGGCCACCATCCCTGCCCAATCTAATAGCCATCGATAGGTCTGTCCTCAGGGAATTCATCTAGTTTTTTTGAACTCTGGTGAGTCTTGGTCTTCACCACATCCTCTGGCCAAGAGTTCCACAGGTTAACTGTATATTGCGCCTTTGGTTTATTTTAACCCAGCTGCCAATTACGTGTAGGAAGCCCCTAGTTCTTTTTTATGAGTAAAAGCACCAATCATGATTTATAGATCTGTTATACCCCCTTTGGGCATCTCTTGTCAACGCTGAAAAGCCCCCATCTTCTTAATCTCTCCTCCTACGGACACTAGTCCATACCCTGATCCTGTGCGTTTCCCTTTCCTGTCCCACCCCCCACCTCAATATATCCCTTCAGAGAGGAGGTGATCACATCTGCACACACTACTCAAGATATGGCCGTACCATAGATTTATGGAGACGCTATATACTATATAAGACAAACTGTCCCTTTGGGAATTGACTCAATATTCTCTTTGGCCGTACCATAGATTTATGGAGACGCTACACACTATATAAGAAACTGTCCCTTTGGGAATTGACTCAATATTCTCTTCACATTTTTGACTGCTGCTGCACATTGAGGGGATGCTTCTGGAGTTGCTGTGGACAGTTCTCCATGATCATTCTTGAGCAGAAACAGCCAATTTAGACCACACCGTGGTTGAGGTAGAGTGAGGATTATGTTTTCCGATGCGTATTACTTTGGAAGGAGGGTAAAACAGAAGGAATAGATGATCTGCTGTGTGCCACCCCTTTTGACATCAACCCCAACACCGCCCACGTGCTAGACTCTAGTGTAGATGGGGCTACTAACCCTAACCCACTACTTGCCACCGGTGCTAGCAACAGCCTGGTTTGATAGACAGAGGAGGAAACTAAGAGCCAGAATTGTCAATTTCTAAAACCCCAGGGGAAGAAGAGACTCTGCCTACTCGTTTTTAAAGCTGATTTTTATTTCATGGTCTCCAGCTCTCTTCTGACAATTAAAAAGTTTGCTAAGTGTGTGCACAGGCAGCTTCAGGACCAGTCAGGAAGCCTTCCAGCTCACCGAGCTGGGCTCCCTGCTCAGATTGCGAAGCCGCCAAGACAGACGCCTGTATCAATAAAAAAAGCTGAAAATCCCCACCCATGGATCCCAGACTGCTCCCCGGCTGAGACTGCTATGGACACCTCGCTGCACTGCCATCAAGACGAGAGCAACCTGCCCCACTGCACGCACTGCCTGCTGCCGGGGCCAACAGCACTGCCCAACCCACTCCACCACTGAGCAGCAAGCCGCACGTGCGGTGGTGCGCTCTGCAGGACTGCCACGAAACCCGGCGCTCAGCCTGCTGGAAGGACTGAGGGTGCCAGCAGGCCCCAGGCTGGTGAGGAACCCGTGGAGGGGGGAGAGGTGCTGTTTCGGAAGGGAAGTGGAAAGGTGGTGTGCGAAGTGGCAGCTGTCAGTCCCATCAGCCCTAGGATGGACGAAGGAGCGGCTTGACGGCAGTAACAGCATCCCCCCTCCCGGGGGGGGGGGGGGGGGGGGAGCTTCTCCGCCC